GCTGTCGTAATAGAATTTTTAAACGCAAGAGGAGAGAAAACTAATATTGCGTCTCTGCATTTGAACGTTTTCACAGTCAGATGTGTCAATTCGGCCGGGGGGATTGAGTTACTTTCCTCAACGAGCGAGGTTTTCAATGCGCGCGTATCATCGAGCGTATTTTAAGAGATAAAATGTGTTTGGACTTATATTCGACTATCGACAATGGAGTATCTTTTTCACTCCGGGATAGTGTGTTACGTACAATAACTTAGCCGCGCGTATCTTTTACACTTCGTACATAAAGTCCCTCAAACGGTTTTCTTATCAAACAATCAACATACGGAGATACGCTTTTTTTTGTACGCGACACACCAGGCGACGCGTTTATCCGAAAGGCATCGCACACAACCTATTCAACCTTCTCGCGCATATATCGTGAGCCACGAGTGTGGTCGGACGCGTCAACACACTCCCACATACATACCTGCGTCATTCTCTCGAACGCGCGCGTGTATACGGTAATTGGCCGACGTTGCGCGCGGAGTCATAACGACACACACCGGCGTGATTTCCGAAGGTGTCGAATCGAACACGTCGCATTTTCCATAAGCGATAAGCGATCGCGCGTGAGAAGATGCACCACGCGGAAGCGGCCTTAGAGTCTCCACACGGCGAGACGGAACCTAAATACCTAGCGCCCGTTAGGCGTTGCACACGCTCGCGCGCGTGTTTGCCTCGGCGGCGTGTGTACACGCGCGTGTGGAGGTGAGATAAAACGCACGCGGTCCAACGTGAGGTCGCTGCGCGTGAGATCGCTGCATGTGCGCTGCACAACGAAGATGAGGTGGTGGTGGTGATGTTGGAGGAGGATGAGGAGACTCGGTGCAACGTTCGTTTGCACGCTCGCACCTGACGCACACGCACATGCACGTGCACACGTATGCGCGCACACGTGTTTACGGTATTTGATCGTCGTTCACTTAGCACGGCCCAGTGACCCGTATAACCTAAGGTCTGCTTATGATCGAAGAGGTTTCCGTGTATCTTTTCCTTAACGGATAACGCTACGGGATAGCCGCGCCGCGTCTCACGGGGATCTTTTCGATAGTAAATAGCGCGAGTGTAATGATATTCAAATCAATGCGAGTGAGTTTTTATTTCGAACACGCGAATTATCTTTCAAAAAGGATCAACACGACGAGCCAGCGAATGCAAGATCTCAGTGTGCAAATTATTATTGAATATTTCTTAATATAGTGAACGTTTTGGTCCTTAATTTAAGAATCTTCATCAGCACGAGACTAAAAAAAAAGTAATCGAATTACAGTTCGCTGTTATTCTAATTAATGTGGTAAAATGTTGAACTGGAACTAGTGTTGTGTTAAGCCACTTGCCAATGATATAAACAACAATAAATAATATCATAATAATTAGAATGACAGCGAACTGAATTTAGAAGAGACTTCATCTCTCTTTTGAAACTGTGCGCTGCTTTGTGAAGACGCAATTTTTCTGATAAAAAAAATGTTAAAACATTTTGTCCAGTTTAAGAGTTAAAAAGTTCATCGAATGTTGTGCCATAAAGGATCGAGAAAGGAGAAAAGCTGGAAGAGAAAAGAAGGAAGAAACGAAAGGAGAGAAGGAAGATACTGCGATAATAATGAGGAGAAGATCGCGTGCTGGTTCGGTTTTCTTCCGGAATGTCGGGAGTGATTTCCTCCGCTAATTTCCATGTGTACAACTCTGGCGTGATGATTTACAGCAATAATTTCGCGAGAGGCGCGAAATGCACGCTGCGCGCGCGGTTTAGTTTTTACTTCCCACGTCCGCCTCACGTGCTGTTCGATAACCAATACTTTGGATCGATATAGAATGATGTGTCGGTGGCTTCTCTCTCTCTCTCTCTCTTTTTCTCTCTTTCTCGACAGGGTCTGTGTGCCGAAAAATTCAAAATTGGGTTAACCGTCACGCTTTGGTTGCACCGAGCATGAAATATTCGTATATGCCCGTTTTAAATACCGGCAATTTTAATGCATATAATTCTACGGGTGATGATATATTATAATCTTATTACGGCCGACGCGCGAATGTGTACATTAGTTAGCGCGTGATTTAACTTTCGTTTCCCACGTTTGCCTCTCCGATCGATGATAAACTCAACGCGTTTTGCAGTCGCGAAAAAAAATGTCGATACTCGTCTGCCACGTGTGCGTTTGCATAAAAACTAACAATTCTCTCTAGCATAATTAATACATTCTATGTTTTTACTACAGGGAGAAAGAAGATTATTAATTATTTTGTGATATTGATTTTAGATTTAGATTTTGAATCAGAGGTTTTTTTTAAATATTTGGCTCACATCCTCCGTGAAAACTGCACGATTTTTTAATCTTATATTTTGTTCCTCTTTGTTCTTCTCTCTTTCTCTTTGGTGTACAATAAATCTTGAAGTAAGCCGCGTATCTTCTTTGGCTAAATTAAACACTCGAGTGTTAAAGTGGACGCCACGCGAGGCATAAATTGCATTCTGATCCTGTACAATGCGTCCGCGTGTCCGTTCCTCGCGTGTTTACTTAGAAATCGGCGGCGGCGTGCGTGCCTCTCGCGGGCACGATCTATGCGTGAGATAAATCCTACCGTGCTGAGATCAAAGTCGAGACGCGAAATTCGCCGCTCGCTCCCACGTCACATCTCTCGCCAAGTAATTTACACACTCGGAGGATCTCCCCCTCCGCGCATGTGTTGCTGCATGCGGAGAGCCGCACGATATTCGATCGACTCACCTAACGCGGCCCAGTGACCCAAATAAGCCTACGGTTTGCTTATGATCGAAGCGGTTTCCGTTTCTCCTCGGGTCCAGTCATGCTCCTTGAAGAAGTGACCAACGGCAAAGAGGCGGAGTCGCTCTGTTCTTTTCCTCGCTTTTGACGATCCGTACACGAATCATATATGTACACGAAGACGTCTCATCTGCAAACACCGCGTCGGTGACCATCAACGGCGAGGTTCGATATTTGTCCGTTTTTTTTTTTTTTTTGTTTTTTTTTACGATGTAACCCCGATAACACGTTTAGATAACATATTCGGATGATCGCTAGTTTTAGTTTCTCGCGAGAAAGGTTTCCTTTCCGCGTGTAGACCGCGTGCGTACTTGCGGGACTACTTTCTTATCATGGAAACTCTAAAGTGTAGCGCAGAATGAGATTGATAACGGCGCTCTCGTGTCGAGAAAGATTCAACTCTAAATACGACGTATCATGATAAAGTTCCTTTTGTTTTGTTCTTCTCTGCTCGACGGTTTCCTCGGCCTCGTCTCGTGCGTATCTCCCCTTTTCTTCTTCGTGGCGCATTCTTCTCCGTGGTTGCTGCTGTTAATTATCTCTCGACATATTTTTTGCTCGCCGTTGCCGCGTCGTCATTTATCATGCACGACGCGCACGTAGAAGCGGTCTAATTATCAGCAGGATCAGCGAAACGCATGTCGCAGATTTCCTCGAAAAGCCTTTGCCCTCAATGCCACGTTTAAAAATGATCATTACGGGCGTAGGGATGCAATTGTGAACGCAAACAAGATCTGTCAGAAAAGAGGATACAAACAATTTGTATATAAATAGAAGAATTTGTTTTATTATCAATTTCGACGTTTTATTCTGCAATCGGAAGAAATGAAAACACTTGCATGATTGATTATTGTTATTTACACTATCCCTTATTTGGGTTCAATTTCAAGATTTATGTGATTGTAAATTATACTTGTCGCTTGACAACTTGCTTTTGTACGAGTTTCTCGCTCTTCGCTTTCTTTCTCCTTTTTTTACGAATTGTCGTAACACTTCGAAGATATTACGTTTTGTTTTATTTTCCGAAATCTGTTTTTTTTTTTTTTTTATCGGAACCCTGTTCAGACAGCGGTTGTACATCGGTCGGATTACCTTTCGGACGATTAATACGCCGGCCGAGCGAGCATTGAGTCGTCATAAGTCACGAGCAATAATTCCCCGAGCGATACGTCTATCGTTTGTTTGAGAGTTCTGGAGCATGACGGGAAATGTGGCAATACCGAGCGAGAGCACGCGTCCGACGTGGCCCGATCGTTATCAGACAACCGTTTCTGTCGTACGGTCTCGATTATGTCATAATGAAGACCGTGCGATTGCATAACGAGGAACAGCAGCAATCGCGAGCACGGATCTTCCTGCAGAGCAATTGCGTAAAACGTGATTAATTGTAATGAGAGAGTCCGTCGATTCGCGCGCGATTGCAGTTACGCTGTATCCGCATATCCGTGCGGAATTACGCGAAACGGCGCGACGTATTTTCGTAGTTTGCGCGTGTAACTGTCACAAGTAATCGCCAGGGCGGCCACGGAGAAACAGAGCCTTAATTATCCGAGCGAATTTCGGATGCCCACCGATCACTCACTGTCCAACTGTGCTAAATACCGATTCTCATATTGTCGAGCGAAGCTGCGAGCGTCGTTTCTCGAGAACCGCGCGCGCGTTTTAACAGGTTGCGCTCGATGTAACGTAATAATAATGTCCGCCCATCGTTACCCGACAGCTCCATTTTTCTACCATGACGCTCAAAGATCGACGTGAACGGCGTTTCTTTCTTTCTCTCTGTCTTAGCTGTTTCCAGAGCGCAGAGTAAAAGTTTCCAAAAATATTTCTTTCAATTTTTTTTCTCGCGAATATCGGCGCGAACATTCGGGAAGAAAATACGGCGCGGATTCGAGAAAGCAATAAAGCAATAACTATTATGTCGAAAGTAACATTTCAATACTTTCAGGACCGGTTGCGCCTTAAAAACATCGTTTTACGTGCAATTCTCGGTCTCGTTTGTAGCAATTTACTCGACAGGTGATGCGAGATTGGGAGAATCAAAAGTAGTGTGTCGAAAGGCGGATCATTATTGACAACTGTATCTTGTCAGTCGCTCGTGAATCGAAAGAAAGTGTTGTAAAAGTCGCAAGAAAGCACCCACGCTTGAAGGACAACTTGTTTTTGTTTTAATTGCAGATATTATCGTGGCTCTGCAAGAAAGGCGAGGACATCCTGTCGAAACACGCACAGCACACCGCGACGAGCTTGGCATCGGCGCGACTTCACGAGCGTGAATTCGAGAAGTTTTATTTCACGTCGATGGTGAGTAATATGGCGCGTTGATTGTCCTATGGCGGTTTAATAAAATCGAAAAGAGAGAGAGAAAGAGAGAGAGAGAGAGAGAGAGAGAGAGAGAAAAAGAAAGAAAGAAAGAGACCCGGAACGGAATTGAGTCGCTCTCCTAAGAGAGAAGATTTCACTTTTTTCGCGACCCATTGAGCCGCCCGTCACGCTTCGATGCGAAAGAAATTTTGGAGGACTCGAAAGGTGGTTGTAATATAAGCGCGAGATAATAAAGAATTCTTTCGTGACGGGCGGACTGTGTCGCAAAGACTTCTGCCAAGTGTGCGTATTTCCTTCTTTTTTTTTACTTATCTGTCAACAAGATGAAGAGGTCGCGAAGAAGTCGTGATGGCGTCTGAAAAAGAGGGAGGCGAAAATGATTATTCTCTTCTCGCGTCCGTAGACTTAATATGGTCAGGCCGAAAGCGCGTTTTCAAAGCAGAAACGGCAAAATAAAGTTGGTAAAAGGTGCTACGAAGATGTCACCAAAACAATTTTCGTTACATTTTTATCATTCCAGCGGGATGTTCGTGCAAATTAAAAATAACTACAGAATCAAGAGAAGAATTTTAATTTGGTCCCTCTCTGACCTCTTTACGCGAACTTATTTCTAATCTTTTTTATTTAATTATTCGTGGAAGATTTGCATGGCCTCGTTGCATATTCAGTGTCCCTGAGGGGTTGCGCGGTTTTATGTCCTTGAGGCGGTTGTGCGATTTACGCAAATACTTACCTTATACCTCAGTATAAGATTGCAGTATAGTTTTTTTTATATTTTTCAGATTTTGAAAAAAAAACGTTTAGAATGTATTTAAAATTGATACATAGTTTTTGGGAGATAAATTTATTAAAGATTTTTTTAATCGATTTCAAATAGCCCGCATATATACTCATAAGTTCTAGTTAACTATGATACATGACAGATGTCACTATGTTCTTGCCTAACTAGCCTAATCTCTCTACTCAGTCGGTAACAGATTTCTTTCTTTACACAAAAATGTGTGTTGTTAAACGTATGTTTGATTATTTACACATGGATATTCACTGTATTTTAATATACGTATAATTTTAAATTTATAGATTTCTTTTTAACCACTGCGACAAAAATAAATCGACTTGTGAACAGCGATAGAATCGATATCGCTGCGAGTTTCTCTCTATGATCGGTAAGTCGATCGTCTAATCTCGTGGCGCCGCCTGCTGGGACTTTTCCTCGAGTGTTTTACGCACCGACACAAACCTTCGCGACCGACCGAGCGTGGCGCGTAAATTAAAATAGTTCCTGAAACTATAAGTGCACTTGTAAGAGCGGCAATTATTTTTCTCTTGACACCCGCCTAGTTAATCAGCAAGAATCTCGTCGGTGCGCTGCGTAATGGGCCGATCTGATCGCGGTCATTAATTTAAAGACACGGAGGCCGCCTCCCTGAATGATTTCCGCAATTAGAGTCACCTACCACCTGGTAGGATGCGGATGATGAAGAGCCGATTAACACTCTTACGGCGAGTGAAACTTGCGATCTCCGTTACTAAAGTGCATACCGATGTCTTTCTCTTATCAGTCGCAGCAACGTTGTACATGTGCGCGGGTGTTCGCTTCCTCTGATAACTTTACATGTACATTAGTGGGATTTTTTACTTTAATCTTGACCTACAAACTGACCTAAGGACTTTTCCGGTGATTTCTTGAAACTTTCCCAGAAGAATTATTTATGCGAAAGATTTATCGGACAGTTTTCTCAGAAATTTTACGTCCGTGCGATTACATTGTTTCAAAAAGTTGCGCACAAAGTAATTAACTTCGATATTTATATGCGCTTGTAATTTTATTTTTCATAGTTATAATATTATCGAAAACAATATTACGGTGAAAGCGCTCGTTGATATTACGAATTAATATCCGCGTGTATACCGCGATCAAATTGCAATAAATATGATAATATCTGGCAGGTTGTAATTTTAAAAACTTGCGACCGGGCGACGCGCGTTTTCATAGAGTTAATTAAGTGCGATTACGCGAAATTGAACGTGCGACAATTAAACGGGAACGGTCGTGAAATGTTACGCTATCGGTGTTACATGACAACTCACAATTTTAACGCGTTAATAACACATTGGCCCTCTCGGCTGGATTCGCACGTATCGTGAAAAATTTATTGCGAAAAAGATCGGCGTTCTGCAATCGATTTTCCCGTTTGCGTGAGACTAAACTTTCTCTCGGCGATACTGAAGTATTTTATACGCTTTGCGCGGACGATTTCAGGGCGCGACGACGATGTGGTTCCGTCGATGATGATTCGTTGGACAGTTGTTACTTAATTAATCAATCTCACGGCGATGCGAAACGGCCGATCGGAGAAGCGAGATACAAAAGCCCGATCGCGGCCGGTGCAACAACGATCAGTCGTTGCGCAGACGTTAATTAATCACGTCTCACTCGCTTCAATTATCCGTTTCATGCGCATGGGTCATTATCCAAAAACGTACTCATTGCGCGCTCCCGCTTCTCTTTTTTTCCTCTCTTTTCGCCTCTTCCGCGGCCCAATGACCCCCATTGCGCTACCCACACTCTGTCATAATTGTCACCGATTATTGCCACGATGGTCGAAAAGCGTATTATTTGGGTCATCTTGACGGAACTGGAACGGAGTTATTGGCGATTTATTATTGAACGATCCGCGCGCGTCTCGATCCTGCACGACAAGCGAGCAACATATATGGAGCATCGAGTAATTACATGATGTGTTGCTCGAACGGAGAAGAGCGTCATCAATTGAAGCCGCCGTAAATTTAATGGCGAAAAAAATCGCGCTCATCGAACTATTTTTTTCGCGACATCGCTGTATTGCCTCTTTGAATTAATCAGCGTCAGCTGATTTTAATCGAAGCCACAAAACGAGGAACATTGCGATTATTATGTTCGATTTGTGAAGTATATTCTCAGTCTCTCTTCGTCTTACGAATATTGCATGAATATTCGCAAAGTGCATTGTAAACAGGCGCTGATAACAACGTTATTCTTGTTTACTTAAACGAGGCAAGTGAAAACATACAATTCAAGTTTTATCAAAAATGCATGAAGTGCACAAAAGCAAATAAAAATCTTCTCAACGATATTCTACTTTTTAAAGTTGATTTTATCACGCGTGATAGGTTTTCATTTTTATTTTCCGCGATCACACAATGTTGTTAACTCAAATGCAAACGCAAGGAATTTCGAATGCAGAACACAACAGTCGAGACCTAAGCCTAAAATTTACTCGAAAACCGGAAATTTCGAACGCAACAATGTATGTAAGTTACGGTAGGACGGAATGATGTCGGGAAGCAACTGTCAAGGTAGATTCGAAGCGCACGAAACAACGCCCACGGTCGTTCTCGTAACCTAATTACATGGCGCACGGCGGAAAAGGCAAGGAAGTCACGCCAGGAATAAGAACGCGCGCATTATTGTCGGCACCTGTAGCGACGACGATCGTGAAATCGTGGCCGATTCTACGTGGAAAGAAATAAGTTCCGTCGGATTTAGAGAAACTACGCACTGTCTGTTACCTCGAGACACGATTGCGCGCGTTTATCGCGAGTGTATTTGTGAAGAACATTCGATACAATAAGTGTAACGTATTCCGAGGAATTCGGCAGAACGCGACCGATCGCGAAAGTTGTTGCGCGACCGGAATACGACAAAAGTTTTAGTGCAAACAAAAGTTGTGCCTTACTCGCAAACAATGCGCATTTTATTTACCGTCAAACGCTATCGCAATCGTAAAGTTTTGCAGTTTAGCGATTGTTTACGCAACCGATCAGCGACGACGCTATGATTTAGGTAACACAATGACGAATTACTTCCTTTCGCATCTTGGCATAATAATCGCGTTAATATGCGTGAGAAGTAACCTCGTCCAGCGGACAATGTTACATCCGGTCAATTTACTCTTTGATATCAACGTCGTGTGTGTATACGCGTGTCACGAATCGCGATCGGAAAACTATTTCAAAATCTAATTGCAAAAGCGCGAAAATCGGCACAAGGCGGTTATGCTTGTTGGCTCGCCGCACTCCTCACGACGGGACGTAACTTTCCATCATATAATCGATCATCGCGCGATAAATCATAGGCAACGATGTTCCTTATCTGATGTGCCGCGCATAGTCGGAACATCTTTTTCACAATGTTTCGAATACCTTCGAAAAAAAGATTCGAGTCTCAGCTTTTTCACGGTTGGCTCATTGGAGACTTCAACCGCGTACAAGGTTCAAATTGTTTTTCTTTACAAATTTGAAGCTACGTCTTTTTGAACTCAATTCAATCACTTATGCTCGTTCGGTATCAACTAACTCAATCGGGCGTGTTTATTAGGTTCTAGTATTTATGGGAACGCGCACGGGTGACTGTGTCGCATAGAGCCCAATTTCACCCTTTGTGATTTCGCCTATCGCGCACGGAACTTGCCCACCCGTCCGAGAGCGCGTAATCGCCTAATCGCGCTCGAACCCTACGCGTTACCACCCACTTAATGTACGATAGATTTATCGCGGGCAAAAGGAAGATGATTCTCCTCCTCCTCGTCTGAACGCAACATCTGTTGCGCGATTGTCCCCGCGGCTTAATCGATTTGCGATGCTGTTTGCCGCTCGCGAGAGATCGCAAACCGTATATTTTTTGCGACGAGTATACCATAACGTTTCAACGCGATAAGTACTGTATTTAACTTCGCATTGAAAATTTACCGCGTGACGTAAGTCCTTTCATAAAGGTTTATTGTAACGATTGTCAAATAAGATGATAAGCTATCGCTAGAAACGTTTCTTTATCGAGGCAAAAACGCAAAAACGGTAAAAACACTTAGCAATTTTCATTGCAAATTACAAACAAAATAAATGTATCGTCGACAATCGACGCATATCTCTTGCACAATTTTCATGAATAGCAAATGAGTGTCATGTGTACTTTTACGCATTATGGTATTTATTTTTGT